GCCTGCTTCTCCCTCTGCCTAGTCTCTACCTCTCTCTGTCTTCTCATGAATAAATAAATAAGATCTTTAAAAATAAATAAATTGATAAATTTCTGAGGAGAACATTTTTTTTTCTAAACAAAATTTTGTGGAAAGTCCCTTTACTTAAAATGTGCAAAATTCCAGTTGAAATAAAAAAAAGACTGGCCTGTCCCTATATCCTTAGTTCATGAAATTCCTCCAAGGACACTTCAAAAACATCTGAAAGTCACTGCCCTAAGTAAATGTGCTATCTATAAAATTAACAAAAACATTTTTTAAAGTATTTAATTAACTCTAAGATTCCTGTGTAGTATAATGTACTATATAATTCTCTGTGAGACCTGTGACAAGCACAATTTCTGTGAGCCTTAATTCTCCCCATCAATGAACTGATGGCCTTACACAATACAAAATGGCCTGTCAACCCTAAAATTGTACTAGGATGAAGGCTACAATCAGTAGTGGTCATCTCTAATTTTAGGACAGGCACATCATGACAGTATACATTTTCATCTCTGCAGATCTTAATCTTGTTTCTGTTATTAACTCTGCTTTAAATTTAATGCCTCTAAATTATTAGCACTACACATCTTTTTCCCAGATCACAAGAAGCTAGATGGAAAGATTTTTGTAAGCACTTTAGTGTACTCTCTTCAGGGAAGATCTGTACTAGAAATAACGTGTTCTGGGGAAAAAAGGACAATTTTGCTTAGGTTTTTTGTTTTGCCTAAATCTCAAAGGGGATGGCTGCCTATTGTTTGCACAGTGAGTAGAACAGGAAGAAACTATGCCAGTGGGGCGCCTGGGTGGCTCAGTGGTTGAGCATATCTGCCTTTGGCTCAGGACATGATCCTGGGGTCCTGGGATAGAGTCCTGCATTGGTGTCCCTGCAGGGAGTCTGCTTCTCCCTCTGCCTATGTCTCTGCCACTTTCTCTGTGTCTCTCATGAATAAATAAATAAAATATTAAAAAAAAAAAAAGCTATGCCAGGAGGAGGAGAAGAATGAGACTAAAACAAGACAATATTCTCAACAACTAGGAGAATAATCCAAGCCTTTGAAATAAAGCAGCTTCGTCAGTTACAAAATGCTTATAAAAAAAAAAAATCACAACCCCCCCAAAATATATATACAATTACTTTGAGTCTCTATTCTACATTTAATCTCATCTGACTGACTTATTAGCCTATGAATTAGTTATACCACAGTAGAAGACTGATGAAAGGTAAAATATTACGGAGCATTTTTCACCAAACCGAATTTCAAAAATATTCCAAATAGTCAGTTGTGAGTACATATTTAGAAATCACACTCTCCATTTCCAAATACATTTCTGTGTATTCTTCTGCTAAATAACCTAGAGTATTGGTGAGTCGTATTCTGCTGGAAGTGACAGATCTGAGGAAAAGGGCAAACTTCAGTTATACAACAAAGAAAGAGCATTATAAAATCAAGTTACAATTCAGTTCTTTTCATCTAACATGTAAAAAAAAAAAAAAAACAGCCATTTCAACATAAAGAGATATGAACTGTTCCAAAAACATTATTCTACAGAGATTGGTTGCTAAAGAAGTCATAACTCTGTAATTATAAACCATTTGTACACAGGATGAACTGTTACAAATAGCTCTTTTTCCTAATAAGGGTAATAAGAAAGTCACACTATGGATGGTTTTGAGTTCTCAAGGAGACCTCTATACGATAACCCTGGAGTCTCACAAAGTTCCACAGCCACCTGCACCAGCTCTACTTAAATTCTCACAGAGATTCACAGCTGCTTTTTTAAGATTTATTTTATTTATTCATTGAGAGAGAGAGAGGAGAGAGAGAGAGAAGACAGACAGGCAGAGACACAGGCAGAGGGAGAAGCGGGCTCCACACAGGGAGCCCGACGCGGAACCCGATCTGGGGTCTCCAGGATCACGCCCTGGGCTGCAGGTAGCGCTAAACCACTGCGCCACCAGGGCTACCCGATTCACAGCTACATACATCCTTATGTAAAGCCATCTCTTATCTATTATATTGACAAAAAGGAGATATTTTCACCCAGTTTCCCTGGCAAGTGCCTACAGAAGAACTTTCTTTAGCTTTTTAATATAACCCAAGCACCATCAATTTTAAAGCCTCACCATTCAATTCTGTACCATAAGAAAATGCTAAGATATTTTTCTATCAACTTTTTTTTTAATTTATTTATTCATGAGAGACACAGAAAGAAAGGCAGAAAAACAGGCAGAGAGAGAAGCAGGCTCCATGCAGGGAGCCCAACGTGGGACTCGATCCCAGGTCTCCAGGATCACACCCTGGGCTGAAGGCGGAACTAAACCGCTGAGTCACCGGGCTGCCCTCTATCATCAATTTGAAATGTGTAGTTCAGAGAGGTTAAATAAAATTTGAGAAAATGTGCATCTTATAAATCTTGTAAGAACTTTAGAAGAAGGGAAGTTCATAACCAATCACACATTCATTTTAACAGAATAAAAAATTAAGTATTCTCTACAAAGTAGAAAACGTGTTAAATAAAACTTGGGTTCAATCCCAATTTTACTTGAAATCAGTAGAACTATGTGATTTCGAATACCTTCACCTATTATCTTTAAAGTGAACTGTGGATCATAAAATTGTTTTATAATTTTTTTATTTAGAGAAAGCAAGAGTGCAAGCGCACGCGCATGTATATATACACACGCAGACACATGTGCATGAGCAGATAGGGGGGTGGAGCAGAAGCAGAGAGAGAATCTCAAGCAGACTCCTCCCTGACTGCCCCAAAATAGTTTTAAAAAATAAATGAACATAGGGGGATCTGGGTAGCTCAGCTGGTTGAGAGTTTGACTCTTAGTTTCAGCTCAAGTCATGATCTGTGTCTTGGGATCAAGCACTGCACTGGGCTTGATGCTCAGTGTATACTATGCTTAATCACCCCCTTACTCCTACTCTTGCTGGCATACTTACTCTCTCAAATAAAATCTTTTTAAAAAGGAAATAAATGGGGATCCCTAGGTTGCTCAGTGGTTTGGTGTCTGCCTTCAGCCCAGGGTGTGATCCTGGGGTCCTGGGATCAAGTCCCACATCAGGCTTCCCGTATGGAGCCTGCTTCTCCCTCTGCCTGTGTCTCTGCCTCTATTTCCCATGAACAAATAAAATCTTTAAAAAATTAAAAATTAAAAAAAGGAAATAAATGAGCATAGCTGCATATGTACGTTATAAAATGTAAAGCACAACTGTGATGTCAGATTTTTATCAATGCCATACCGGAAGAATATAACACTATGTCCATATCTTGCTATAGCTGGGTTTAGAGTTTTAAGAAATAAAAAAACTAATTTGTCACTTTGCTAATTAATCCTGTTCCCAAGTATTATTTGAAGTGATAATGTAGCCATTAAACACAACTTTGTTAAATTTAATCAATAGTAACTGTAGAGAATCAAAATATACTATAGATAGACATTTTATTGATTCACATTCTTTTTTAAAGATTTATTTATTCATGAGAGACGTGGAGAGCCAGAGACATAGACAAGAGAGGGAGAAGCGGGCTCCTCGTAGGGAGCCTAATGCGGGACTTGATCCCCAGATCCAGGATCATGCCCTGAGCCGAAGGCAGACGTTCAACCGCTGAGCCACCCAGGCATCCCTTAAAAGTTTTATAGCACTGTAGAAAATACTTTATGGATATTCTAAAGAGTAGACATGAGGGTTAATTATCTGTCATAGTTCTAATTCAAGTGTTCAGAATCTAGATTATGTTACTACACTGAAAAAATATTCAAGTATCATACATATATTTTTAAATGTAGGCTCTTTTTCCCCCCTTTTAATGTAACAGTTTCAACAGTCTTTCCTACTGGAAAAAAGACAGAGTTGTTTCCTATTTTATATGTCTTAATATCTGTTAAAGGTATTTAATTCTATCCAAAAGAAACCACTTGGGATGCCTGGGTGGCTCAGCGGTTGAGTGTCTGCCTTCAGCTCAGGGCATGATCCCGGGATCCGGAATCAAGTCCCACATCGGGCTCCCTGCATGGAGCCTGCTTCTCCCTCTGCCTATGTCTCTGCCTCTCTCTGTGTGTCTCTCATGAATAAAGTCTTTTAAAAAATTAAAAAAAAAAAAAGAAAAGAAAAGAAAAAAGAAACCACTCATTTAAACTGCCCTAAATACAGGAACTCAAGTCAGAAATCTTCTCTTTATTTCAGTCATTTCTGGCAAGTGAGAAATAAAGCCAGCTAAATATTTATCCCCTACTAGTCCTCCTCTGCCATCAAATGTGGCCTGTGAAAGGAAACTCTTGCAGTGAGTAATCATTTCAACTAAACCCCAAAGTAAGAAAATCAGATCCTTTGTTCCATTTATTTAAATAGGTCCATCATTATGTGATTTCTTTCAAATTAAAATGATGAAACTCCAAGGTCAACCAACATCACTAGCTATAGAATCTAAATTAAGTGAGCTTTATATTATTTAAGAGCCAGCACCATAAATGCATTTTAAGTGACAACAGTAATAGCAAATTCAGTTCTGTGACTTTAAGTATTTACTATTAGGTTTTCCTCATGATTTCCATGATACAATGTGTACAAATCTAAACATATAATGCCTTGGATAAAAGTCTACTCTGCTCTCAACAATAAAGAAAACTATTTTAAAAATCATTTATAGAATTGCAGAAACTAAAAGTGCAATTGCAGTATAATTGCCTCTACGTTCCAAATAAGAAATACTGTCTCAAAAATTATTCTGAAGAATGGAAAAAATTATAAAGCGAAGCACAGCAAAGACTTTTCAGAGAAATCTCATTTTTGCAGATTTAAATCATCAGCCTAAATAATATAAGAGATGCAAATCCCTCCTCTAAACTGTCTTAAAAAATGACTGCATAATAATCTGACAAGAAATTAAGTCTTTTTTTTTTTTGAAATTAAGTCTTCATCAAGTTGGGATACCAATAATTAAACAATAAATTTAATAATACGTACAGTTCCAGAGAGGACATCATGGGGGCAACAGTTGAGAAGGTGACTCTTGCATACTCTGTCATCGCTGAATTTGATTCGTTGACGAGTAGTATCTCCTGTAATATAGAAAAGTTAATAACATTCAAGGTTAGACAACTGGAAAATACTTATTTTCTGAGAGCCCTACTATCACTAGTTTTTTCCTGTGTGGCTACACGCACATACATTTATTTATATAAATCAGCTCAAGAGGGATTAGTTTGTATAATATCCTATAGAAAAACTATTTTAGACATGCAATTGCAGTATGTGTACTGCAAATGTAATTCAAATAGTCAAAGTGGGAAAGCAATGCATTCTGTTAAACAGAGTACTTCAGAAAAGCATAGGATATAGAGCAGGAATGGACTTTGAAGATTATGGAGTCCAACTCCTTCATATTGCAGATGATGAAATCGAGGCCCCAAGAGGTTAAGCGACTTGCAGCAGACCCACTAGGAGAGTTTCTACTGGTATACAATGTTCCCTACTTGACGCTAAGCATAGATTTATTTTGTAATTATTTACATTAATTGAAAAACATAAAAAGTAATCTTGCAAACATTGCATACACACTGCGAATCCCCACTGAACCCCAGACGCCATTTCTTCCACTATTTTGTTCCAGCTGAAGTGTCTCCCTTTTGCTGCTGGGATGAGTTAGAGAGGGTAGAATAGCGTGTTTAAGAGTGTACAAACCTGGAAGAAGGACTTACACACCAGTCAGACAAAGGCACAATGCCTAAATGAAACGTTAACTTTAATGCCTCCAAAGGTACCATACCTTCAAATTTTAGGTGGTCTGTGCTACATATGGCCATACTGGGTACATTTAAATTTATTCTGTCTTCATATAACACAATACACCTCCTAAGCAACAGAAGCATCCAACCTCCTAATCAGATATGCCTATCTAACTCAAACTTTAAAGAGTCTAAGAAAAAGAAAAGTAACTAGCTCTAGGAACAAAATATAGATGTTAGTTACATTTTTTTTGCTTAGAATCTCTTTGGGGGGAAAAAAAAGAAAAAAACTCTTAAGGATGTTTTTTCTATGTAGAATGCTCAGATAAGCCCTAAGAAATGTTCGTGTTTTATTTTAGTCTTAAGTTGATATCATCATTGATGAATGAAAACCTACTGATGAATTACTGAAGCGAGAACTGTTGGTACCAAAAGAGATTGTATACACCTTTGTACTTCACATGATGCTTTGGGGCACTCCAAAAACTCATCTAGGAAGTGATTCAATTACTTAATTTGTTTTTCACATGTGAGTCACAGAAAGGTTAAGCCTTTACCCCTTTTACATGGTCTTATTTTGAAGAGCTTAATGCAAAGTCAACTAAATATGTCATTTTTAAGTGGGGTAAGATTTTGTTCAAATTGTTTTAACTCAAAAAGACTTAAAGAATATTCTAATTTAGGGTATATAAAATTTAAGAAAAGTAATTTATAGCTAAAATGATAGCTTCAGAGCAGTTCAACAATAGGTTTTCTAGAGGCTAGTCTCTAGTTCAAGTAGGTTATTTTTGACACCACAATTTGGAATAAATCATTTTGTGTTCACGCCTGCTACTATAATAAAGGTTATTTTGATGGTTCCTTTTTTTCCTTTGAAACACAACTGCTTTTGTTCCACATTCATTAACACATCTGAAAAGTTAGTGATAACTCACGGCTCGGCGAATGCGGGGCCTTTCTGACACTCCCTTGCAGATTGAAGTAGGCAGGCATAGATACATTGAACCTTTACAAATAAAACAAGGGGCCAGATTGTTCAGTTTGTATAGAATAGACTCTGCCAGCAATTTCAATACAGCATCTAGAAGTACATGTTGACTGTAAAGATTCTTGTATATGAAAACAAAAGTGAACAAAATCAGGGTGTTTTATTTTTCAAAATATAGACTTAACAAGTGTAACCCTACAGAAGAATATGACCACAGGAAAAAGTCCAATGCTGGAACTCTGGGAAATGGTCTCTGGGCCAACTGGGGTTTTAAAAAATGCTTTTTAAAAGATTTTATCTCATTAAGACTTTGGTGAAGGCCTAAGTTCACGTTAGAATGATACTATGATAAGCTAGCACCAGAAGGGCAATGCTATATATTAGACTTTTTTTTTTTTTTTTTTTTTGCTTACTGGCATGTAAGAAAAATGTCTTATTTTTAATCCGTACCCAAAATGTGCTAAGGAATTTCAAAGATGATGTAGCTTTTCTGAATAGGGAAAGGAAAAAAAAAAAAAAAAAAAAACCCTTACATATCTAGGACTCTCCCTACTACATACCTAAGCTTTTTAATATGCAACAACAGTATTGTTTCAATGCTACGTAAAACTAATGGTTCAGTAATACTATAAACCAGGCCTTACAATAAAAATCAAGGTTCTTAGAAGTTTTACTAATCAAGCATTTTGTGAGGTAGGGCTACTGTTTTTGCTTCAGAAATCACAACATTAAGTCTAATATTAAGATACATGTGCCCTGAAGACACAGCTATAAGTTAAAATATAAACAATTCCAAATACAAATTTAGCAAACATTATCCCTGATGAGCTCTTACAAAAAGTATATTTCTATAAATGCCAAAAAGTGTTTTAAAGTGCATAAGAATGGTTGCTCAATAAACATTTGATAACTGCAAACGCAATAAATACAGCTATCAAATATCAATTACACATTACAGAAACCTTTAAAACAATGAAATAATAAAAACTCTAATAATTTCAGATACAGAAATATCCTGAGATGGACTAGCAACTAGGTATGTTTATTGGTATTTTAAAAGTTTTACTTAAGAGACTTTAAGGTTAACATTTTAAAATAACTTGGCTACATTACCATGCAGTATTTAATACATTTATTTGGGCTTATGCCATGAAAGTGTAATTTAGCTAAACCAACAAAGAATTTTAAAATAAAAATACTGATAATTTTGGTTTCTGTCAACATATCTGGCCCAAACCATGTTTTTCAAAAGAAACTAGGTATAACAGCACCCATGTGAAAAAAAGGGGTGGGGGGCAGACTATAAGTAATAGAAAACAAGTATGAAACAAATCTTATAATACAAAGAATTACTTTGTGGAGTCAACATACTGTATCTTTGGGCATATATTCATATAAAAATAACCTGAGTTTAAAAACAAAACAAGACAACTACCCTCTTACACTAACACTGGATCCAAATCATAGAAACAAACCTATTAGTGCACATATCCTCTGTGCGAGTCAATGGGGTTACAAATAGGCATATAACTACAAGCTCTGTACCCTCAAGGAGTCCATGATGTTGATAGAGAAATAGGACATTTAAATAACAAGTAATAAAGGTAGCATGACCCAAGTGCCAAATGGATTTCTCTAATAGTAGTACTTCAGGAATTCTAAAGCTAGAATGGCCACCAAGGATGGAGAGGTTAGAAAAGGCTTCGTATAAAACGGTAGAAGCCAAAATTTAAAGACAAGATAGGACTTAGATCACAGAAAAGAAGAACATTCCAAGCTGGAGTATTATCTTTGACAAAGCTTATAAAGGCAGAAACGTTTAGGGAATAGTAAATACTCCAAGTCAAATTTGGCTTTGGCAAATGGCTGCATGTAGGGGAAGAGCAAAGTTGGGGCCAGAGTAATATTTTCTGGGTAAAATCCGATTTCCTAATTTTTTCACTTTTTTTCAATCCAGATTTTCAGTGTGTAAACAAAGTTTAAAAAAAAAAGTTTAAAAATAATGGGGCAGAAATTAAATCATGTTTAACAGCAACACAATGTCTATCCATAAAAACATGGCGGTTTCTCTGCCCTATAACTTCTACATTAATTAGGCTTTGTACATAACTATGATGCCAAGTTTTTAAAATTAGCAATTTGGCTTAGAACTTCGGTAGGCAAAGTGTTCTTCACTTGAATGGAAGCATCAAAATTTCTATTAATACTTACTACCAAGCAACTAACTTCAGAGTAAAAACTTTCTCTTTGGTTCAACCCTTTTGTGAGTTTCATGAATCCTAATTTGTATTTGGGAATATCTGAGTTGCAGGTGTACAATAAAAACTGAGATGCCTATTGCTCTTCTCAAAGTTTCTCAGCAAGTTAACAGGGCCTAAAGCGGTAGTGAAGCAATGTCACGTAGGGAATATGGATAGGCCACTCTACAGGCAGCTCCCATCCCAACTATACTCAAATACCATTATACTCAAAATCCCCTTCAATCTGTTGGGAGGGAACAACGAGCCCACTGTAACCCCAACACCACGGTTTTATGGTCCTGCCTCTTCTGAAACTGCCTTAGACTTAAATTATAGTAGTAACACTTAAAACTTCAGTCTAGATGGTATCTGACATCATTTTACATGGTGCATGCTATTTTTCCCAATACCCACCCCCTCCCCTCCAGTGGCACCCTCCCTCTCCCTCCCATACAAACAATAAATAAACTTTCATAGATTTAGGTGCTATTTTAAAAACATCAAAATTTTACTTTACCCATTCTCTCCGATGCTCCCTGTATTTTTTTAAGCTGTGAGTGGATGACCATGCTATGTGATCAACAACTGTGAAGGCTAAGCAAAAGTGAACTGAGTTTAGTATTATAATTAAAAGAACCTTAAAGTTTGTAATATTTGACATATATAATGGTATGCGGAATCCTTATTTTACTGCATATTATCAGGCATTAATGGCAAGCAATTTATAAAAACAACTAATTAGTATTTCTCTTATATAGAATTAGCTTAGAACTTAGCTTAGGGAAAACAGAAGAAAACTCAACAGCACACAAAGCAAATGGAAGCAACCCCTAGCTTATAAATGGGGCCAGGAGAAGAAAAGCCCTCCCATATTCTCCAATGTGACAACCAAAGCCCTCCCCACAGATACACTTGTTAGGGGCCAAGTGTGACCACTGGCTTAGGACAGGATAGGCACATTCCCTCTGAAATGAAATCCATATACCTTCAGTAAAAGGAAAGCAGAGCAAGAGAAAGAGGTGTATAGCTGATAGCTTAAAGCTACTCATTTCCCTGTGCCCTCAAATCATCAAATGCAAAGAAATGTTTCATCTTCTTATTACCAGCCTTATATTAGCTACTAAGTCCACATAGTAACATATAAACTATATAAAGACCAGTGGCCAATTTCTAGTCTAGTACAGGGCAGTAAGAAGTCTGCCCTGTCCCAGGAAACCCTCATCTTCAGAGGTAAAAATAGGGGATTCCTGCTGCACAGGGACTACTACACTGAAGAACCATTGTGATTACTTTTACATTCTTCTCCAAGTGTCTCATCAACTCTACTAAATTCTCCCACCTACCTTTGCTGTTCCTTTAGAATTCAGTCTAAACCTCATCTATAAGAACTCTTCTGTAATTATCCTTTTTAAAAAAATCTTTTACTTCATGTAATTGTTAATACAGTTTAATTCACTGTATATATATATATATATATATATATACACATACAGTTCAAAGTACAGAATTTGTTTTGTAAAAGTAATCACTACCATGTCTTAACATATTATGACTATGGGTGCTTTGAAAACAGTTAACACGACGTGATACATGCCAAACTTGTCAAAATTTTATTTATTACATAAGAAAGAGTACTCAGCCAAAGGTGGCAGTGGGAAAAACCAATTATGGCATTGTCCCTTCCAAATGTAATAGAGTCACTTCTATCTACTAGAGCTTATAAAGTCATACCAAGCAAGTAAAATTTCCCTTCCCCCAGAAAATGCAAAAATAAGGGTACGATATGGCTCAGAAGGGCTATCCCTCTTAAATCTTTTCATAGGGTCCTATAGGTTTATAATTACAAATAGGTGCCACTTTTACTCCTATGAGAACCCCCAAGACAAGCCCAACATTTAAAAACTTCAAAGCCCATTGTAGAAATTGCTAGAACAAATTCATTCTTACTGAATATGATCAAAGATTAATAAAATGTGAAAGTAACTTTTTAAAATCTACCAGCCTTGTTTGTGAAAATCCATGCAACAAAACTGTAAGGAATGAGACAGGGAACAGCCTTGTATTAAGTGAAAAAGCTTACAGGATATTTAAGAGCTAACAGAATGGTGATGGAAATGTGAGAAGAGAAATATTAAAGTAGCTACATTCCAAGGGCTCTATTCCACCCCTTGTCACCACCCTATCTCCTCTCAGTACACAAGCGTAGAGTCTTGGCCACTGGCAGGTGTGGTGGTGGAATATATGCTTTAGGAAATCTATCAATGTTTCTTTTAAATTTAAGAAATACATTAGAAAAGCTTGAATAGACTGCTACCTAAACATGAAGTTCTAAAAGATTATATGGAATTTGTTTTATAGGTTATAAAGGAAAGTCAGTTATTAAAAAGTTGCAGCCTGCTAAATTTTCAATTTTGATACTTACTTGCAGAGCTGCAATTCTGATACAGTAACACCTGTACTGGGGATATCTGGTGCCTTCTATCATCCAGAACTTCCTATACACAAAATTAGAAGTAATGAAACCTATCTCTGGCTATGAAGAATTTGCTGAAAAGAACCAAAGAAAAAGTAATTGGCTGATTTACCAAAAACACAAATTCTCATTCATTGACTACAGCTTTAAAAGCTAAGCAGAGCCTCCCCAAATCAAAAAATAGTGAAGGAAAGAAATAAAGGAAAAGAAATGAGAATATCAAAGGACAGAAGTGACAGACAACTCAATGATAAAGTTAAAATGGAAAAACAGAGATTACCATGAAGGAGACTGAGCCTTACGACTACTGAAAGGACACAGAAGAAATACTGTGTCATGTTGGTTATACACCAAATGCACAAGGATTACCTTTGGGGAAAGGATTCTGACTGTGAAGGGAAACAGAGGGACTTCGTTTGTAATGCTTTTTTTTTTTTTTATAATTTGAAAAAAATATACATTTGCTCACTCCTATCAGTGTTTGATAGTCTTTTGCATTTTTTAAGAGTTTGCAAAATTAGGCCCCTATAATCAGCATCACAGAATTTATGATTTAAAAATAAACATAACTGCTCATGTGTAAAATCTTCATTTCCCACTAGACTTTCAGTCCCTCTAAGATTAGAGTCCTATATCACTACTTTATTGCAGAGACAAAAGACAATAGAAACAAATGTGTCCATAATCTCTAAGGAAAGGAAGAAGTAACTAAAGCAACTCAGCAACCAGGGGATAGTCAGGAAAGAAACAGTTTACTCCTATCAACAATTACTATATCCTAAAGCACATCAGCCAATAAATAATACAGAACACCATGTCCAGGGAAGTATCCCTTTAATACTGTGAGGCAAATTAAGTAACACGGGATTGTCTCAAAACAAGAACACATGGTTCCTAGATTCTGAGACGAAGCAACCATTTTCTTAGCAAAGATGTTCTGCTGTTTCCCTATGCAACATAAAATCATAGCCACTTGCCCCACAGTTTCTAGTCCAGGGATTTTCCTTCATTAAGTAGCCCTTCCCACAGCCAGGCATCTTTTCACATTCCCATTGTTAAACAGGTTGGTGAAATCCTGCAGAACTGCTGGCCACCATGGGAGAGGTGGGAATTCAAGCTAAATGAGGTAATTTCATTGTTGAGGTCTAGATGAACCTCTCTAAGGACTCCTAGATCTCTCTCTCTCTCAGATATGCATTTCTTCTGGTTAGTCATTTTTGAGGACTTGGGTATGTATAGTTCAAACAGCTTTTTCTTTCACATGAATAACTACAACAGTATTTTCCAGCGTATGAGATTTGTACAAAAGATGATTTTAGGTATTATCCAATTTCACAAACAGGATTTCATCAATATTTTAAACACCACTCAATCATTCAGTAATTATCATGATTAACTTTTTTTTTAAGATTTTTGTAAAAAAAAAAAAAAGATTCTGTTTATTTATGAGAGACACAAGAGAGAGAGGCAGAGACATAGCCAGAGGGAGAGGCAGGCTCCATGCAGAGAGCCCGATGTGGGACTCCAGGATCCTGGGTCTCCAGGATCACGCCCTGAGCCGAAGGCAGACGCTCAACCGCTGAGCCACCCAGGCATCCCTCATGATTAACTTTAAAAAAATACATGATAAAGTCCATTTGGTGCTTAACATCTAACAAGTTCTAATGCTAAGCACATGTAACAACATAGTCTAAGCTACTTTTTTTTTTTGAGTCTTATTTTTCAAAATATCATGTTGTTCTCACTATATCTTTCTAGTGACATAAATTTTCATTTTAAAATTAACTTAAATTTTTAGAAAGTGAGTTGACGTGAAGAAAATATCAAACAGAAAACAGGGTAAAAAGGCGGTATGTGTGGCTAACACTTGGGAAACACTTATCTAGAACAGAGTTTCTCAAATTTTTAACGTGCATCGGAATCATGTAGAAGGCTTCTTAAATCACAGATTATTGGTCCCAGTCCCAAGAATTTCTGGAGTCAGCCCAAGAATTTACATTTCTAACAAGTTCCCAGGTATTGCTAAAGTCTGAAGACCACTCTTTTTTGAGAATCACTCACCAAAACAGTGGTCAACAAGCTTTTTCTTAATGGGCTAGATAGATAGCAAATATTTTAAACTTGCCAGCTAAGAGGTCTCTTGCAATTACTCTGCTGTTTTACGGCAAAGCAGCAATATTGTGTATGTACACAAATAGGCGTGGTTGTTTACATATAAAACTTTACAAAAAGCAGGTGGGCCATAGTGTCAATCCTGATCTAAAATATACCTTCAAATAACTAAAAAAAAAGGGTATACTGCATAATCTAACAGTAGGACAAAATAAAGAAGCAGTGAACGGTTAAGTATACTATAGATACTATCCAATTTCTTTTACTGAAAGGCAAAAATTCTGGAAAAGTCTAACTCTGAAAGAGAAAACTGAGGTCTCAAGAAGATAAAAACAAAACAATTTACCATGCATTCAGGAGACATGACAAAAGACTCAGCAAGGGCAGCTGGTTAAATTCTTTTCATGTTGAATCACACAGGTCAAACATCACTGCACATGGTTCACAACTAAATTAGAACATATGGATCAGTATCTAGTGAGTTTTTTTTTTTTTTTAGGAAAAAAGTTTAAAGACTCCTTTCTCTAGCCCATGTTAAATAGCAAAATATGACATTTACTCAATTTACAAACTACTTTTCTCTATAACCTCAATCACCTTAAAAATTGATGCATTTTGGCCTTGCCTTTCAATTTCTACCCTAGTCGCTACTAGTGCATGAGAATTTAAAACAAAAAGGAAGAGCGACTATTCTACAGATGAATTCACAAGATTCCTGTCAGAAATGTACCCTCTTGCTCCCTCATTCATTCTCCAGCAAACTGTCCCACCTTTCTTCATCTTCTTAGTAGACTGATTAAGCTGTTTAGTACAATTATGTATACTTCCTCACAGACTATACTAATAGCCCTGGGCTTTTTTAGGATTCAACCCATTTCATTCAATTTCTGGAATTCCATTCTGGAGGAGCATCTGCCTCATTTATCTAGCTATGTCCACACTTAGTGATCTTCAGTTTTGTTTTGTTTTTTTTTTTGTTGTTGTTGTTTTGCAACCCCACCACTTGCCTGAAGTCTTAGCAACTTCAAGCTTTAATGTCTGTATGAACCACCTGGTACTGAACACCAATATCTGACTCACTAAAAGACTAATATATATATTATAATCCATGGCACCTTTCCTGCTACCTATCTTGAACATGCAGCTCACCATCATTTTTCCTTATGTGACATATTATCCAAACCAAATCAAAGCATTTACTTCATTATAGAGCTTATGCAGTGATAAACAATATGATTTTTCTTTGGTTTCAATGTATTTCTTTACCCAAAGTAAAAGAATTATCACACAAGCATAGGCCTCCTTGAGGAACGCTAAACTATACAAAACAAGATTATATGAAATTATACTATTATGTTTTCTACGCTGTTTTGCAGGCAGAAACATTCAGAGTTCAAAACGCAAAATGAGTTAAAGTTTGTTCAAAACGATTCAACATATGTTAACAGAGCTTTTGGTGTTTTGATATGCCTGGACCTCTTGATGAAGTATTTACTAAAACTCTAATTTAGCCTTATGTTTACTGTTTAACCTTACTTTTGCTGTAATTTCTTATGTTAAAAGAATTTACAAGCTCTGGAATAAGATATACTCCATTACTACTTTTAAAAATGTGTGCTTGTACATTAAAGGCTATGCCTCCTTCACTTAAAATGAACAATCCAAGTGGAATAAAATGGCTTACAACTGACCAAAAAATAAATATGGCTCATTATGCTAATGAGAAAAATTAAAAAAAAAATGCTCTCAATGTTGATGACAAGCCAAGGAACACAGATTACAGTAAAGATGATTTTATGAAGAAAATCCACTGAAGAAAACACTACTTCAATCTTTGATTCAATTATTTATTTTGCAGAAAGACAGCAATGTCATCCTATCCTACAGGTTCAACAGTGATGTATCGCTAAACTTCTATTAGGAGCAAGTAAATTATTTTCTTAATTCTATTTTCCTGGTCACCTCCTAGAATGAATAGTATACCCTTTTAATTTTACATTCTGCAAAACTACTGTAATATATAATTGATCAGCAAAGATACCAAATTATGACTAAGTGTATTTCTATTAACTGAGGAAGTACATCACTGTATGTTTAGAAAGATTACCCTCAAAAATAGGCAAAATCATCTGAAAACTTTCACTTGCCCTAGACATTCCCTAACCATAATGGCCAACTAATGATAATATAAAATTCTATTCTATATTCTACATTCTATTTATTAGTCTACTCGTCCTTTGGAGTGTAGGGGGGAGGTGATGGCCATTCCTGGCCTGTTTTAACCTTTCAGAGATTATCTCTACTCCTTTTTAAAGCTTATAAGTAATTTAAAAATACAGAGTCCTCACAACCACTTCTGTAAATTACCTAGTTTCTAAACTTAAAATATAATCTAAATTTATACCCTCAATTTTGTTTAATTCCTATCCCTTGTACCTTTCCAGGCCTTATAGGGGCCAGGACCAGAGGCTTATAACCAAATTCTATTTGTTGGCAAAAGAGCTCTAGCAAAGGGCAAATAACCCAACTCAGAAAAAAATAACTACAGACTGTGCAAGGACATTGAGTTCCTCCAACTGTCACACAGACAACTCTCATACTGCTGCTTCAATTTTTCTCTGCTGCTCCTCCCTACTTTCAAATGGACTATGTTCATCCCTCTCCCTTCAATTAACACTAACAACTGAAACAAAAAGATATTTATAAGGTTTAATTTACCTCAAACTTCAGACAAAATAACATACTGATTTATATCTACTTATGGTTCCTCTTTCCTAAAAAAACTTAAGATATACTTATTTTTCAACATTTTTTGAGTGTAACATAGGAAATTATTTGGTTTCCCATTTAACAAATTATTGATTTAACTTGAGGCAAAAAAAGGTTAAGTGACTTACCCAAGGTTACAATTAGAGGTACAGCTGGGGCTAGAAACCAGGTCTCCTGAGTCTCAGCCCAGGGCTCTTTTCCTTAGCCCATGATGCCTTATCAGAAAAATCCAAATACAGTCAGACCCCCAGTTACATGGGTATGAGTTACACTGATTCACATATACAAACTTTATATAGTGTGACCAATGTTTCAACTCACGCGGTACCCTGCTTCCATTTATGCAGTATGCCAGGCATCGGCACGATTTTCAGTGGCACACAGGCGGTTGCCACCACCAGGGCCCTAGGCAAAATTGCAAAGAAGGCAAAGTTTGTCTTTGGCCCTCCCACCACCCTTGTGCATTCCTCTCCCACCTCCTGATCATCCCCCTGCCCAGCCTCCCAGCACCAACATGCTGCCCTCTGGTTGTCCAAAGCCCCCCACTTCCACCACTCACCCAGGACTGTCCTTTCTGGAAGTGCCCAGTGATCCAAAATTACCTCTCCAATTCCCTGACACTAAAATTCCTAATGCTGAGAATTTCAATTGAACGTAGGTAATCTAAATGATTAACTGATTTAAGTAACTCAAAATAAGGTACTTTTAACAGACTTACATTTCCAAGGAGTTTAAAAAGGAACTAATTAAAAACTGATTTGGGAGAGGGGAAGAAGGAATAAATATTTTTACTGGTGGAGAGGGGAAAGTGAAAGGAAAACAAGGTTTTCCCAGTACCCTAAGCCTCTCGTGCCACTTCAGATTCCCTCACAGAACACTAAGGGTTGGGGGGAGGTTACTGCGACCGTTGAGTCCCACTATCCCAGAAAACAGTAGTTGTTTTATAGTCAGTTTCTGGGATGATTAAAAAAGGACAGAGCTGCCTTAAATACGCCCTCCCCTACCTACCTTTTCCATATCTTTCCCACCTCTTGGATCCCCATTTCCACCTCTTAGTGCCAAAGATACCCAACAGCATTCCCTGTAAGCTGTTCCTTTGTCCAATACAAAGCTTTCCATTATATGGTTTCAAATTATATGGTGTTTATTCAGGAACGTATCCATGTTCCCCTACCCCTGGATAACGTGAAGTTGACTGTATGCTAAAAAAGAACAATCCTAATTATTTAAAGGTCCTGAATCATAAAATGAAATATGTAAACTCATTATCTGGTAAGGAAAAGAATGTTCTGATTCTTATCTTGTATACATAAAAGAACTAATATGGGTATCTAAAAAAACATTCATTTCTTTTCCTTGAAAGTAGTATACTTCTTACTTCTGGCCCAACACAGCAGTGAAAATCCAGTCATTTCAGTTAAATAATATCGTGGACTCGTTAACATGAGTTCATTGGTAAATCCTTAGTCTGGAGGCAAAAAAAATCCAGTAACATACACATAAAAAAATTTAAATTTATTTGTATACAAAGCAGAATGGATTTTAAGAAACCCATGTTTCTGCTGACTACTCACATAGGAATATATATTTTTTTCTTTTTTTTTTTTTAATGTAGCTTTGCAATACTAGATTGGCTACCTTGTTTGGAAATTTATCAGGTGATATTAGGTGAGAGTAGTTTTTTTGATCCAATTACCCTTCCAGTAAAACTAGAAAATTCAATCCATGCAGAAGGTGCCAAAAATGGTATCCATCTAGGATCAAAAGATTCATGTAAAATCTTAAATGATTTCCATAATTTTATTACAAAAATTATTCTGTCAACTACAATACTGAATTAGGTCCCTCGCCAATACCATCTTCATTATGGAAGAAGAGCAATGTTAAGACATGCTGCAGCTATAAAATAACCATTCTTATCTAACTGAAAAAATGAACAGGTAAAAGTTTCTTCAGGGGCATTTTTAATTAATGTTAACTTTCCAGGGTTTACTACACAAAATTCATCTCCTTCCCAATCTTCCCCTCCTCTCTACACAACCACAAATAGATTTGCCACCTCCACCTATTTGTCTGTGTCCTATGTAGACAAGTTCCCAATATGGGTATTTTATTAAAACTGAACTATGAACCCTGAAAAGCCATTCTCAGTATGCATTGCAAAAAATACTTTAATATACTTTTTTAATTCACTCACATATTTTGCAGCAAAGTATTCAAGAAAATTACAAGAGCAACTATTAAAAATATGTGTGCCTCTTCTCTTACGTCAAGCAATTTAAATAACTTTTTTTGAAGAAAAAAGCATTTCTTTAATGGCTGAGAAACGATCTGCCTAAACAAGCAACATATAAAAATAAACGAGTGTTTTGCTTTTTAGAAGAGAAAGTAGTAAACTAGACCTTTCCTCCGTATTAACACGGACTTCAGCTCAATTTGAGAATACATGATTATCACCAAAAAAGCAACAGCATTTCATCTTTTCATTTAGAAATTCTCTTTATGACAAAAAGATATCCAGGATTAGTGATCTTCTACATCAGCTCTAACCTAAGTACCTAAAAGGATCGTTGTTTTTTTCCCCTCAAGTCTACTCCACTGGGCACCACATTTTCAAAATGGTTCTATTTGGGGCACATGCGAGATTTGTCAATATTTACTGAACAAAGCTTCTATTAAATTCTCTAACAAAATGGAGGTCTCTCGGAAGGAAAAAAAAAAAAAAACAGGCCATAACATTTTTCTTTTCACAAAATGGGGCCAAACACACCCACTTCACGAAACCATGGTTTGGGTCAGATTTTCTCCATAAGCAGGACCGTGGGGACCGAGAGTGCACTGCTGGGGCGGGGCTCGAGGGGAAGGTTTCCTCCGGACCCAGGTAGGGCGCGGGGGGCGGGGCGGGGGGCAGTTCTGTCTGGATGCTCTGGAGGGCGGCGGCGAGGGACGATCCCACAGCTCTGGCTCAAGGAATCAGTCCACGGGGCGGAGGCTTTAGCGGTCCACCGGCACCTAATCAGCCACAGAACCGGACGACCGACTACGCCAGCAGAGACGTGGGCTCTCCCGTCCCAGACAAGTCAACACTGAATCTCAAACTCTCCTTTCTGCCTCCAGGCCCCGCCTGACCCCATTGGCAGCGGTTCCCGCCAATCCGCTCGGTCACCGCCCCCCAAGCCCGCCTGCCCGGCCCTGATTGGACGGGACGGGAGCCGGGCCCTCGTGTTACCAATCTGGGAGCCCCTTACTCAGCCACACACGCAAGCCCAGGTACGCCCGCGGAGCCCCTGCCCGTCGCCGTCCCCGTCCCCTCCCCCACCCCCAGGGCACTGGCAGACACTTACCGTCCCGGGAGGTGCCCATCAGCTGGTCCAGCATCGCGCGCATCTGGGCCTGCGCCGACATGGCGGCGGCGTAGCGAGCGGGCGGGCGGGGGTGGGGCGCAGACCGGGCCCTTTCGGGCGGGGGGGACAGGGGAAGGGGTGGGGGAAGGTGAGACGCTGTCTCAGCTGCCGCCGCCGCCGCCGCCGCCTCAGGGCGTGTGGAAAGGCAGCCGGAGGGCTTGCAGGAGAGTCCGGGCTGCGCTCCTCACGACGGTGCGTCAGGGGAAGGCAGCAGCCCCCGAAAGCGACCCTCGCTCCCTCACTCTCCGTCGGGTCTTGGGACAGAAGCGTTACGGGCTAAGCAAGCGCTCGCCTCCGACACCGCCACCCGCCAGAAGCCGTCAGCCCCCCCTTCGAGCTCTGACGCCGCTCGCCGCCACCGTCGCCGCGACGTGTGCGCGCACGCTCCTCGCGCTCAGTTGTTTCCCGCGGGGGCTCCACCAACTGGCGTCCAACTGTATCTGCTCCACCCGCCCCGCCCGGGCGGGGTTCCACCCTAACGGCTCTCGGGCGCGTGCACGCGGGCTTCTCGCGCCCCTTTCCCCCAGATCTCGCGAGACTCTGGTTATCGAACGACCCTCGAGCCGGATCTGCCCGAGGCGCCAAACCTCGCGCTGCCTGCTGAGAGGGGGCTCGCGCCGCGCGGCGCTGGGTGCTGGCGAGCCGGGGCCGGATTGGCAAACGTGCCAGAGCGTTACCCCGAGTCGGAAGCAAGTGGAGGCCTTGACCGTCGGTTCGACCGAGGTTAGGCGTCTTCGTAGCTCCTTACAGGCGTGTTTCCAACGCTCACTCCCTGGCCCATTGACTCTCTTTCAGGGGCGCGCCCAGAATGTCGGGCGCTCAGCCTTTCCCCCCCGCTGCTGCCCTGACCTACAAAAGCAGCCCTGGAGATGGGACGTCTGGATCACCCCCCTTCGTCGATGCGCCGAGGCCAAACGCCACCCCGCCCCCGCCCCCCACCCCGAATTAGGGTAAATCGGGTTTCAGGAAAGAATACCTGAAACTAATACACTAAGGAAACAGATGATCTAACCTGGTTGGAGTGATCATCATTAATTTTAACAGGAGACTGTTAGTCTAAATTTGGACCTAAAAAGCAGGGTTCTCAGGAAAGGTGACATTCTAGAGAACTTCCTTTTTTTTTTTTTTTTTTTCTGCTTAAGAAGTTTGAAGAATAAAGCCTTTTCAGTGTGTCGGCAGCATTGGGAAAGAAAGCCGGTGTTCGCTCGTTGCATCATCGCCTTGGATTCAAAGTCCTAGCCAACTGATTGCTAACTGGGACCTTGAGCAGTTTCTTAATCTCCTGTTTATGGATATAAACACATAATTTATAGCATTGCTGTGAGGACTCAATAAGCTAACAAAATGCCTGGCCATTTTTTAGACATTTTTGTAAAATATTAATGGCTTAAAGTGAGACCTAGTTTCTTCCTAGACGCTTGGAAAAGAAATAATGGTAAACTTTTTTCATTAAAAATTTGTGTGCGGGGCGTCTGCCTTCAGCTCAGGTCATGATCCCAGCATCCTGGGGTCCAACCCGGTTCAGGCTCCCCGCTCATCAAGGAGCCTGCTTCTCCTTCTCCCTGCTCTTGTGCCCCCACTCATTTTTCCTCTCTCTCTCCCTCTCAATAAATCTTTTTGTTTTTCAATAAATCTTTTTTTAAAAAAGTTATGTGCTTCAGGGATCCCTGGGTGGCGCAGCGGTTTAGCGCCTGTC